AAAAAAATTCTTGAACAATCATTCAAAATATTGAGAAGAAAAAAAAAAGAATAAAACAGTCATTACTTAATTTTCTGATGACGTGCGACTGTTAAAAAAATTCGAAACTAAATTTTATGCCTCAAACTTCCATCAATTATGGAATTCATTCGAATACGATGAATTAACAGTAAATATTAAAAGGTAATTTGGGAATGATTTAAATTATTTAAAATAAAATATCTGTTTTGGTGCATTAGATATATTATTTATAAGACTTCCATCGTCTCGTAGGACATTGATAACAATCCGTGAAAAATTTTTTATCATATAAGTTTGATTTGCACCCACAGCAAAAACTGTCTTATTTAAGGTGGCTTTTCTTGTAGAAACTCTAGTATGAAAATGGGTACAAAATTACAGTTTTTCATGCGTAGATTTTGACTACGTAATATTGTATACTAGTCAATGAAGAGTAACAAGACTTGATTCAAGTCAATATAAAAAATGAAGATTAATTTTTTGATCTTGACTTATTTTTTTGTATTGGAATTTAATTTAATATTATGGGATTCGTTAAATATGAAATCTGTCAAGGGAGTCGAGTTGGTTGTATCTTACGAGCAGCATCTCACTCTAATATGAAGAAAACTATAGACAATACTTAGATTAATTTTTTGTTTCCTAGTAATATTATGTCTACAGTTTTTTATGCATATTTTTGTTGTAGCTGGACCAGATGAGGCTAAACAACAGTCAGCGAAACGTTGTCATTAAAAATTGTCATAACTAACATTATGTAAATTTATAAAGTTAAACGATGCAAGCAAGCTTTTATCGGACATGATGACTAGCCAAAACAAGTCTGACGAAGCTGTCAAAGACAAGACAATGATGAGGATCAATTTTTGTTCGATGTGATTGGAACGGTAGTTTTACTAAGTTCCTTAGGATTATTAATTAACTGGTCATAGTTCCAGCAGTTGAATATTAATTCGTAGTATATTACAGTGCCATTTCATCTAAGAACCAGCTGGGGGCATCTGCATTATGACTGATGAGAAGCTTGGGTCTCATGGATAGTGGCTTATGTCGAAACTCATTTGCTGTGTTATGCAAACAACTGCAATTCACTGAGAAGGGTCATATCTATATGATCATAACTCATATTTATGGACGTCATCGCGATATACTACATACTACTATACTTCACCTGTACAAATAGTACGCTTTATGTAGCGATGATTAATACTTAACTATTATGCGAAGACATATATATTACATAAAAATTGATTCATGTATGTTAAAGAAAAATTATGATGAGAATTATTGGCATACCTGCGTAATAGTTTATAGCATCCCAATTTAATAAAAAATTAAAATGCTACAGAACATGAAATTTAAAACCTTAAACAAATTTGTGTACAAAAGAATAGTTTAACACTTGGATTTTTATATTTAAATTACAAATTTAGATTTTCTGCAGCCAGTAGGCCAATAAATCCTTATTTATCTTAAAGTTATATGTATAATTTTTGTTTGCACGCTTCATGAGACGCAATCGCGTGTTATCCTCGCACTTATATTGCTCTGAAGAGGACATCTGCAAGATGTCGAAATATTGGCTTTTGTAGATAATTATTGAAATATTCTATTTCCAAATTTTAAGAGTTATTAATTTAAATCCTTATTTATTTTACACACCCTAGACGGAAGTAAAGAATGCTCAAATCTCGTGTTTGTAACCCTCGGCTTCGCCTTGGATGACGATACGCACGAGAAATGGATCTTTCTTTACTTAATCGCTCTAGGTGTGTAAATAGCTATTCACGCATACCTGCAGATCTGGAATAACTGAAGATGGAAATGATTGTAGTGCTAGGTGCCAAGTCGATATCGATGGTAGATGGGTTTCTTTCCAAGGTCAAGAAAAAAAAGTGCCATGGGTGAGTAAATCTTCCTCGCTTAGGCGTATCAAAGGCTATATCCAGCTTAAAGAGCATTATTGCATACCCATGCTCATATGAGTCAAGAAGTAAAAGATTATTTGCCGTTACAAACTCCCAAAATGGTGGCTTCCAATTATGTAGTGGCAAAGGATGGATCAAGACTCACTTCTAATGGGGGTAATGTAAAATGAGTAACCATAGTAAGCTAGTGAAACCATCTTTTATTCTGAAATTGCCTGAGACTTGGATTTTTGGAAGAAATTCTAAGATTTTTGCCTCATCAGTAATCTCTCTTACACCAAATTATTTGTAAGTATTTGGTGCAAGGACTTACAGAATGAGTCTCGCATAACGGAGTCCCAGGTGATTTTCTTTTTGCCATCCCAGAGATTACTAGAAATAAAAAATAAAAAAAATTGGTGAAGAATTCATTAAAGCAATTAATTAAAATTGAAAAAAAAAAACTGTTGTCTTACCGGTTAACTGATCATGAAAGAAAATAAAAATGGACACCATGTGCTTGAAGAAAGGTTATGTAGATGCAGTTACCGAGAAATCGCAAGGAGCTGTATACAGTCTTCCATGATTATAAATTTTGAATGGTACTTATCCAGCAAATTATTTTAGTTTCAACACAGTACAATACAATAAGCATACAATGGAAGTGTGGCCAAATATAGTTTTGTCTTAACCTGCACTGGACACGCTCATATGTGTTTACGATTTGGCGGTTGTAGATGTTCTACAGATCCCTAAATAGTATAGCGTTGTGTGGCCAAAATTAAAGTGAAATCCGCCTCGCGGCAAATTCGAACGTTCTAGAACCAAGTACTTTAACCCCATAACTCTGTAAAGGATTTGAACCCAATGACCCGCGGCAGGGACTGGAATACATCAGTTTTAAATGTGATACGTTAGTAACAATTTATAAACAAATTATGGTAAAAAAAATTCAAATGACTGGCATTTGATTCGATCACTCTCATGACATAGTTTACTGAGCTTAAAAGTAATTAATCTTTGGAATGTGCGAATTTTAGTGATTGTCGACATTATTAAGTCATAACTCCGAAAGTTATTGGCATTTTTTGGGAAAAAAATTATAACCAGTCAATTAAAATTATAATCAGTTGATTAAAATTAATAAAATTGCATGATTTAGATATACTTTTATGTGTGGCGTATAGAGTTAAATTGTAAAGTCCAACACTACGTTAAGTTTTCATAGATTTGGTATAATTCACTTCGAAAATTTATTTTCAGGACACCATTTTAAAGACCATTTTGAACATTTGAAAAACATGATACGTTTTTTATATTTTTTGTCATATTTTGCATAATTATCATCTGTAATTCATCTTAACGTTAAAATTTTTACGTATGAAGTGAACGCTTAATATTATATACCTTCCCGAATTTACTGATAAGTTATTGAATAGTTACCCTTATACTATGACTGTAGGGCGTTTCTTACGAGGAAAATCTTCCCTTCCAAGATGCCCGCCTCCGATTTTCCTGAAATTTTGATATGCTGTATGGGATCGAAAAAAAAGTATTTATCAAGAATAATTTGGCCTTCCGGGTAGTTATTATTATATTTTATTCCTGGAAAAACAATATTTTTTCAAGCATTCTCGAATGAATACAATATTTTGAATAAAATCAAATAAGTTATGAAAAACATGTATTTTTTTATCATAACTAATCAATGCTGTTAAATTCTTTCCAGGTTTCAACAATTAATGGAGGTATTGGTAAAACACAAGTCCCTCAGTGCAAAATACATTCATCTGACAAATTACAATGTTTTGAAGTGTGAGACATACATTTCATTTATAATTGACTCGATTTTTTATTAATCTGTCTTAACCCCTTTAAAAGAGGTAAAACGGCTTATAAAACTTGACCCAAAAAAGCTTTTTTCTAATGATTTTAAATTTCAATTAATCTTATGTCGGATTTGTAATCAGCTACCTCAAAAACCCTTGTATTCAAATTTTTTAAGAAATTGGAGTACTCGAAACTTATCGTATTTATTGATTTTTGTAAGTATTTGAGTACTTTAGTTCCGTTAAAATTCATCAAAATATCGAAACACACCAATTTTATTTTTTAATTTTGTATTGAAATTTTTATTAGTGAAATAATTTTCTTATTACGTAATACTATCTTCAAAAACTGATTGTCACGTGAGTAAAGAGTGATCACGTGACTTATTTGACTGGATTTGAAAAAAAACCAAACTGTTTCAAAATTGCAATAACATCGAAAATGAAATAAGTTCACACTATGACAATGATATAAAATGATATTTTACTTGTTTGTTCTTTTACAAGCAATAAGTGGACAAAAAGATGTAATTTCTTTAAGATTATAAAATGTCAAAATATCTGTAAATAACTATAAAAGTAGTCATAACATTTTATGTCGACTAACGTAACTATAGAACGATGTAAAAGGGGAGTTTTAACACCTAAAAAATAAGTGGCACAACCCTTTCCTTCTAAAATCACTTTGGATTACTTGTGCAAGGAAAATAATTTTCCTTTGCAAGAAAAATAATCTTCATTTGATTTTATAAACAAATACAAAGTTAAAGTCAAGATATATTTAGTAAAAGTAGTTTTTAGGGATAAATGTATTTTAGAAATCTCATTCTTTTTATCCTTAAGTATTCGGAAAGATAGCCTTCTCAAATAATATAAAGCTAACTTTAATTCTAGAAATTAGGATCCTAATAAGTTATTTAGAGTTTATCCTGCTATATTACTTAAAACGATCGTTTCCAATGCTTTTTCGATATTTCAAATTTTTTAAATGTTTATTTTACTTTCCAGAATTTTTTAAATTTAATTTTAAAATAATCATTAAGTATGAAATATGATAATTGTAGCTACTGTAACATGACAATATAAATTCACCACCCCAAGAATGATTGGGAATAGGAGATTCAATGGCGTAGGGTAAAAAAACTGTTAAATAATAATAAAAAAAAATAATTTAATTACAGTTTAAAACATTATTTCTTAGAAAGTTTTCTATACTTAATGAGTATAAATCTGTACAGGCATTCTCATAATTTTATGGTTTACATTCAAAATGATATGGGTCCAAAGATTTTTGATCCCGCCATGTTGGTGGTAGACCATTGTATAAATATGCACCACATCTTTTGCACGGGTCACTGCCTAAGCTAATGTAACTGTGAAGCCATGTCTGAAAAGTCATAAAAATTACAAGTAATAAAATAAATATGAAACAAAATTATGCTATGATCACCATTATGTTTTTGTTTTACCATGAAATAAAGAAAATGTTATCAAAATTTTCGTTGTCTCAACGTTAAATTAAAAATTTTGTATGGCAATTCAGGTTGATCACATAAAAAAAATAGACTTTAAATTTAGTATTAGTGGGGTCAAATCACAACTTCTATTAGCCTATAAATTCCCCAAATATATGAATGAATATGAGATTGAATTTAACTTACGAAAAAACTCTTAACCGCCATTTCTGGGAAATTTGGGTTGTAATAATGCAGCATCGTAGCATGTGCGTGATCTGTCACTTTTTGAAATATTTTATACCTCGACTCTGTCCACAAGTCGAGCTGTTCATTGAAGCCCTTAACAACGACTCTTTCGATCATTATACCTTTGAATGACACCATTGCCTTGAAAACATGGGCTAATGTTATGTGAAGAACTACATTTGTTGTGTAGGGTCTCGTGATTGTTATAGACATGTCATTGTATAATCTGTCCATCATTGTTATGACTGCATCAACTTGTCTGGAAAGACGTTACACTAGGGTTAAAAACCATAAAAAAGATTTCAAACAAATCCTAACAGTAATTAAGGGACATACTGTGGAGTATACGTGTGGGCTTGTTGGGGTCTGGCATTTCGTTTTTGACGATTGTTGTAACTCATACTAGTACGTTTTAATGAATTTTGGCTTAATATTTGATGAGCTGCATTACTGTATTCCTGTGCCTTGTCTGTCCATTTGTATGTATTAACCAATGTACTGTATAATGCCTGACGTTCTTGAGTAATTTCTTGAGCAAGGTATGCTGTATTACCCAAGCTAAATGGCCCAGGTGGTGGGGTCAAGGAGTTCACAGCTTGTTCTACATCTCTAAAACAGCAAAGAAAATCATCAAGTAATATAATGACAAAACATTTATTAAATTAAAAAAGGTTGTCATTGAATGAGAGGTAATTTTTGATAATCACAACGTTGAGCTTTTAACTGCTATCACATCTCAATTAAAAATAAACTACGAGACCAGATTGGATTAACATAAATTCTATTAGTCAAGAGGACAAGCACGTATGAAAATACAACATTTACCTAAGATTTGTGCCAACATTAGTCAAAAGTTCTTGAAGCTCCAATAAATATTTGTTCTCCTTACTTTCTTCTCCGTGTTCTGCTCGTATGCCACTTGCGAGGGAATAAAAGACCTGACTTACACTCGATCGCAGGACTTTCAAAGCCGATAGGGTAGTTTGCATTTGCTCCATTTTTTATAACTATTTCTTACAAATATAAACAAATGTAAACAACACTGTTTGCTCTTGGCGCTCCTGTGTTTTGATGTACATAACCTTAAAATTTCTTATGTGAAAAATAAAATTCGTCTGCTATCTTAGTCAGAAGCCGCGTATTTTAAATTGTCGAAAGGATCGACGATCGCACGGACAAAATTTTATTTCGTTGAAAATCATACATAAAAAATTTCGATTTTAATGAAAAAATCGCAAATTCATTTTAAAATCCTTAGATACAGTAAGTATTCATTATCAACAAACTGAAAATAAAAAACTTATGTCATATTTTCTCAATAAAAATTAAAAATCAGCTTACCAAATAAAAAAAGGGGTGCCCGCAAATTACATATAGTTTAATGAGATGAGTTAACACAACGTGGATTTCAAAAAAGTTTATTAACAATCTTTTAATGTCTTGTAGATCATTACTATGTGGATAATAATAAAATACAACTACATACTGACGGTGGACCTCTACAACCCAGGCTCAAAGTTTTCAGCGTACTTTACTCGGTTTCTTCGATTTCTTTGACACAATTAAACACTATAAAAGTAAACTATATGATTATTCGGTCAATACAAAGCGGTTAGCACACAAAAATTGCAGATGTTCAATGCGACGATGTTTGTAATGTAACAATTAATGTTTGATTTTTTTTTTTTCACAAAACATAGTCAGAAATCAGTAATCACATGATTGAAATAGTACGTATATTTTTTCCAGCATATTTAAAAAAAAAACAAAAAACAAAAAAAAATTGAACGATTATTCAATAATTTTTTAATTGCATCAGCAAACTATTTATCTGACCCTCATTAAACGACATTGCCTTGGCTTTTCGTGTGCTACTGTTTTTAAAATTCTTGTACAACAAAGTTAAAACAATAGGTACAGAATGTGTAAAAGTTGTACTCATGTTACGTCGTTCACTAAGTATTTGTTAGATGTTAAAATCGACGATTAATAAAACTAATTAAATCGTTACGAGAAATATGTTACTGTATATTTAATAAATGCTTCGTGAAGAAAAAGTTAACAAACCCAATGAAACGAACAAAAATTTCAAAAGAAATAACTAAAATTATCAATACAGCTGCATAATGAATGCATTGTTGTAAATGAGACTCATAATTATCAATTTCATAACAATATTTTCGGCCTCTGATTCTGGAAATTTCTATTTTTCAAAGATAAAATTTCTGTCATCAGTGTTTCGCGGTTCATTCATGTATGAAACTCGAAAAATCGCTCTCTTTATTTGTATCCGGTTTGCTTTTGCTGCAGAAATAATATGGATTTTATTTTTGTGTAGTTTAAGGCTACGATCGAGTTCACTAGTACATGTAAATTTTATAGGGAAACGTGAGTGTAACTGTTCAAAATTTCACGCAGATCAGAAAATATAATCCATTTCACGCCACCAACAAAAGATCCAACTGCATATTATATAAGTGGAAAAAAGCTTTGGATTGTATTCCTTCAACTCGCAAGTTTTGCACATTATTTTTTACACCCGTGCTATCACACTGTACGTACTGTAAATTTATGAAGTAAGCTTTTATCAAACATATCCCTTTTGTATCTTATTCAATGCTATATTTGTATATATATTTTTTTATGTTTGAATACATACTCTACGATACTTTTGTTTACATACTTTGATAACTAGTTCTAAATTGTTTTATTTTTATAAACTTTTAAAGCTTCAAGTTTTTATGTATGTACATGTTCCTAACAATAGGATTTAAAGGGTGAAAATTTTGAAAATAATGTCTAGATTGACCTTTCCAACCACAAACAAAAACTGAAGGGATAAAATTTCGTGTATGATAAAATAATCCATCATATTTTACAGTTGGTGTTATTTGATAAAAATTTTTATGTATTTTTTTTTTATTTTAATTTATTAAAAAATCTAAAAACGTTAAATGTATGTTTTTCCGATGTATAGAATCTAGAAAATGAGTATATGTTTTCATAAAAGAATAAAATTTTCAATTCATTAAAAACAACGATTCCAAAAATGACAGCATTTAGATAAAAACATTATGATTATATCAAGTAATGCATTCATCCGTATTTCAGTGTATCATCTTAGAGTACAATGGCTTCAGGCATTTTGTAAATTGCTTAATAATTACATTGCATGATTAACTGTAAAAATCGAAACATTTATTGTTGATGCTCAAAAAACCTGGCGAAAATACATTCGCTGTGAGACATAGATAAAATCGCATCGTTGGTCAACAAAATTCTCAAAAACATATATTTGTACAAATCAATAGATTTTTTTCTTGTTTTCTTTTTTTTTTTTTTTTTTTTTTTACCAGTAAAAAGTACCACTTTAACGAAGGTTAAACGCCTTTTGTTTGCAATAACAAGAATCGTCCGCACATACAGAATACATTGTACAATTGTGAGAAATAGGTCTCATGAGGATAGGAGAATATAAGTTTGACAAGCGATAGATGGACAATGTAAAATCCCTCGCTACTTTTACTCTCGTATTAAATAATTCATTCATTTTTTTATATTTCTGTTTTCTTTCAAATCATTATATACAATTTAATTATTCTCCGCTGATCTATAAGTTTGCATAGATGCGCTTCACAACAACCGATGGAATACGCTGCTCAATGATTTTTTTTCCATCTGTTTTTCATAAAAAGTCTATTATAAGCCGTCTTTGACGTACGTATATTTATTATGCTGTTTATTATGCTTCTCCGGTAAAATGATACCTTATCATTTGTCCCACCAGTCCACCTTCTTTCTCCCCAAGTTTTGTTTTACAAGTTTTTAGACAACTTAACGGCCAATGCCGAATTCCTTAGCATCATCTTCAGTGATGTCACCATACTGCCAGATGTTGCGATGGTTATCTCTTGCATCTTTCTGTGCTTTTCTGTACTCCTCATGCTGAAATGAAATATTTTAATCGTCACTTTTGCACAACTTGTTTGTTAGCAGTTTCAACTAACAATTAAAATGTCCAGTAGAAAAAAAATACATACCAAGTCCTTTAAAATTCGATCTCGGCCTGAGGTACAGATCAAATATCCATCAGCTACGAGGGCCTTGACGATGTCTTCCTTAGAAGTTGGATCAACCAGTGTCACGACGGGCACTCCAGCATTCCTAAACTCAATGTTTTGCAGTATAGGCTTTCCAGTAATGGTGTCTTCTCTCAGAGCTTTGATAGCTTCCTTGGCATCGTCTTCCTGTTATTCATAAAATCATGATTCGATTAATTCTTTTGATAAATTACAGTGAATTCGTTAACTCACATCTTTGGGTAGAGCGACGAGAGCCAGATAGTTCTCGGTGGCATACGGCTTCTCGGAGGCAAATCCGGCTGGTAGAGCGGCGACTCTCGTCACATTAAGAGTCTCGCGGTTGCCATAATCGATGTAGAACACGGACACATTGGGCCCGGCCACCCTTTCGATTTTCACGCGATACCACTCGTCATCCTCGGTAAACTTGGCAATAGCAAGATCACCTTTCTTGGGCGTGTAAGCCCCAGCCAAAGGCGGATTCGTCTCGATCTCTTGACGCAGACGCGACAAAAGACCTTCGAGGGCTACCTTCTGGTCAACCTTCTGAGTGTAAATGTGCAAGTCACTCGTGATCTCAGAAACTACAACCTCTTTGTAGTCTATCTTGCGCTTAGGTGGGCCACGCTCCTCCTTGCGCTCCTTCTCCGGCTCAACCTCTACTATCACGCGGTCTTTCCAAATCTGAGAAAATTAAATTAATAGTTTTCATGACAAAAAGTACAACTTAGATGTAAAAAAAAAAGCAGGACTTGTATTACTTACACCAATTTTATTGGCTTTGGCAACGTCCTCGGCTGCTTTAAGAGCCTTTAGGTATTCGCCCTGCTCGACGAACATGGATACTTCAGCGAGACCCTCCTCAACGAGAGAAACAGACAGATTGACACCGTCGATGAAGAGCCAGCCGATAAAACCACTGCCCTTGGACTCCATGTTCTCCACTTGGACGTCGACGTCCTTTTGGAAGCAGAACTTCCTGGTGAAGGCAAGCGCCTCCTCGCCGTAGGGCTCAGCCTCCATACCACCGGTGCCCGGAGTGATGCGAGCAGCACGTGGGCACTTGACTCCGGCGAGCAGGAAGGTAATCAGGCAGTACTCCTTGGGCACGAAGAGCTTGAGGCGCGAGCCACTCGTTACAAACTCGACTACGGCCTTCATTTCGCGGGCTCGCTTCAGCGCCTGCAGGTGGGACTTGGCAGCTGTTGGATCAGTCGAGACGTCGCGGATTCGCTGGAGCGGAATGTCTTTCTTAGCGTGCAATCCATTCTGAGACTTCTCGGCCTTGGACTCGGCGACAAGCAGGTCGTTGTAGTGAGACGAGCGCTGATCGTCGTTTTGACGGTAGCGTACGACGGTAGCGAAGCCTTTGGATACCATTGCTTCGGCGATGTTACTGTGAATGATTAGACTTATATACTTTTTGACAGGGAAACTATTGTCATAGCAGTGGGAAACCCATTTTTCGAAAATTAAAAACTTTTTGCGGTACATGTCGAGTGAGTTACCATAATATTTATATTTCAGTAAAAAGTATATTATACTTTTGTTTCATTCACTCACGAGCATTACGTAACAAGACTAGGTGTAGGTATACGCTATTTTCACATTATAGGAATTAGATCGATTTCACGAGTTTGCGGTGTACTAAAAGTATATTGGCGTGCACAACTGCGTGTATAAAGTACTTAGTACCATATGCACAGAAACATACTCACATTATCTTTGACTTGAGTGTATGTATCAACGGTTAAGACGCTATTTTAGTAGGAATGCTGTATTTGAATAAAGTATTGTGCACATCGAGCATCAAACAGTTAATTTAAATGATTATAAATTACATACACGTAACACGTGTCAAACGTTTGAAATAAATTAATCAATTCCAAAAAGATCCATTAAGAAAAATTCAGTTTCACATGGAAAATGAAAAAAAAAAAAAAAAAATGTAGCTCGTGAAAAAGAATACTCACACTTTGCCAATTAACACCGTGCAGCAGGTCTTTTCAGGAAAATTGTCCCTGGCTGGCTGAGTATAGTCAACGATGACCTTGACTTGTTTCCCAATGAGCTTTTTCCTCAGGAATTCTCTAGCTTCGAACATCCATGGAATGTCATAAAGCGGACGGAAGTCCTTGCTTCTTGTGGGTGGCTTATTCTCATCACCGGGGGCCCTCTTTTCACGCGGTGGTGGTCTAATGCTGCTCAAAAAGATCTTTTTACTCTCGCCATTGTTCATGCGAACAATCATAGAGTCGGCGCTCGTGATCTCCATTACGGTACCACTGAGCTCCTCAGAGGGCCGACTAGGCACGTAATCCTTCCAAAGATGCAGCCGCTTGTCTTTGGCATTCTTCTCGGCCAAGTAGAGCTTGTGCTTGTCGTTCTTCACGTGGTTCATCGACCAGTCCACGCATCGCGCGAATCCTTCATTCAACAGAGCCTCGGCAATGTTACCTGCAAAAGAGCAGAGCTTACTTAATAACGGCGTTGAGTGAGATCTTTAAAAATAAAGACTGAAAACAGTTGTTGTTCAACTCACCTTTCGGGTGGATGATGCTGCCGACAAGCTGGGTGTTGCTAGCAGACTCAAGAATAACTTCAACGTCTCTCTGTAGCAAACGAGACTCGACGAAGAATCGAGCTTGATCAGCGAAAGGCTCGGTAGATCCATCCTGTTTGAAAGAGGGACAACGGATGCCGGAAATGGCTAGAGTTATGTGGTAGAAGTCAGGTATAAGGAGGGCTTTGACGGTCGAGCCATCCCTCACGTGCTCGATCACAGCCTTGACGGGCTTGTAGCCGTACTTTTCGACGAGGTTCCAGGTTGCCTCAACGGTGTATTTGACATCACGCACGTGTTCGGACGCGGGACTGTTCGGGTTGAACTTGCCCTTGCCTGCGGCTTTGGCGGCATCCTCGAGTTCCTGGAGCTTCGTAAGTTCGGGAGATTGGATGCGCGTGTCACGTTTCACGGTGACGAGACCCTCTGCAGCCAAAAGCTCAGCGACGCTTGGGCCGGATTGATCTGAAAAGATAAGGTAACAATGGTTGAATAGACCCAAAAGAAAAAATTCTAAATGGAACAAAGACTTTACTGTCCAACTCTACTTACAGAGCAACACAACTACATTCGACTATAATAATTGATAAAATTGATTCATATCAATGATAAGGAATAGTTTATCTAAGATTTTAAACTAATCAGAGTGATTAAAGATAACAAATAATCCGATTCGACTCTTAAAACAATTGAATGAATTGATGCTTGGTTTGGTTATGAAATAGATTATTTATATGTATAAAGAAAGTACAATTGTATGAAAAGTTTCAGTTAAAAAAAAACTCAGTCTATTACTTAGTTGTAGTTAACTGGTATTATATACATTGAAAGTGTAAACTCGAATGAACAGAGATCTTACAGCATTTGCCACGTGGACGCCACGTGTTTTGACAGTCGGCTCTCTATGGACCCGTGCATTCATGAAGTTTTAATATGAAAATAGATTCATTATTTGTTCGATCTTTCCAGTTACAAATGATAATAATTTTTGTTACTGAATTTATGTTCAAAAATTAATACAGACGCAAGGAATTTATACCCAAGAAACTGTGTGCAAAAAGTGAGAGAAACAGTGTTTTCAAAGATCATGAATTGATTCTAGAGTTTCATTTATAAATAAAATGATTACCTTTGCCAAGACACACTCGTGCATACGTCCTGTTGTTATTGGGAGACTTCTCCTCCACAAAGGAGATTTCTTGGCCAATCAGTAACTTTCTTAAAAATTCTCTAGCCTCCCAGGCATATGGTTCATCCTTGGTTTCAGTGCTGCAATAGTAATAACATTATAATCTCTCTTGTAACAAGATTAAGTGACAATTTGTGTAAAATAAGGTAAACTTACTTGGCATTGACATTTCTGCGTCCCAATTTTGGAGCAATGATGTTGGACAAAATAAGAGTCTTCTCTGGTGGAGGGCCACCTTTGGGCTGGCCCCTGATGGTGATGGAGTCTCCAGAGTTGACCTATTTACAAAAAGTAAAATTACTCGATATAAAGATAAGTTTTGACTCATTACTACATTGAGCTACTAAAAACTATAATAGCACTCCTTGGGAGTCAAGGTAAAATGAAACAGATGTTAACTTGTAATTCTGAGAAGTGCCAAACCTTGAATGAAATGTTTCGAAATAAACATTGAAAACAAAGGAATTATGCATTCGACAGCAAAAGTTTGATTGAACTTTGCAGTAGCAATAAATAAACAAAAATGAAAACATTTATGATTGCGGAAAGCAGTCTCCGACATCAGTACCTATCATATGGTTCAACTACTTAAAAGTATAGTTAATCATAAAAAGCACGAAAATTAAAGGGACAGATTTGAAAATCTGTTACAGTAGCGTTTAAAGGGAAAAAAAAAGTTTCCACATATTTTTCGGGTGCACCACGCGATCCGTTCAACACCTCCAGATTCTCGATAGAGCCAACGAGATGAGAAACACAAGGTAAATAATGACACAGCAAAACGATTTAAATGCCAAAAAAAAGTGAACCACGTATCGGGCCCGGGGGACCATATGTTTGCTCCGATAATTCAGCGACAGCAGGCATCCATCTGGCCGTACACACGCAAGCACGCGTGGTCGCACACGCCTCCCCCTCACCGCCGTGAGTAACCTACAGGGACCTAATAATAAAGCACTGCTGCTCCCAAAGTACTTCACCTTGGGTGCATCTTGAGGAAGTTGTAACAAGAACTTTACCTGCTTGACGATTCCATAGCCGGGCTTGGGTGGCGGAGCCTGTGGTTGTTGCTGTTGTTGCGGCTGCTGCTGCTGTTGTTGCTGCTGTTGAGGTTGTTCTTGCTTGGGTTGGCTCATGATGATGGCTTGATGTGCGGTGTATCAGTAGCTCGTTGAGACACCAGAGACAGCACTTGAGACGTGGGTGAGAGAAAGGGAGTGCAGACTGTATACTTGGGCGCTGGAGGCTTGGGTGATCGCAGGGAGAGATCGAAGGAGAGCCGAGAGAGTTGCTTACGTGTGTGCTCTTGTAGGTATACTTTGCCGTAGAGAAGCAGCCAAGTCAGCAGCTCTTCTCCGCGGTGCTCGAGCTGCGGGGGTTTTTTTTTTGTCGGATTCGTGCAAATTTCGGCGGTCAAAGGGTTGGTGGGCTCACAGGTGGTGCGACATATTGGTGCTGGAGGGGTTGCTGAGTGCGGTCGGTCGGTCGGCGCGGCGGCGAAAATAGCTCCTACTTAAAGTAGCGAGCGAGACGGACTACTTGAGTCGAACTTGATGCTCTATGTAATATGTATAGCTGCTGTTACTGGCAGGGCCAGAAGCCACAGAAGCATGCATGCGACGGGACCAATCACCAATGCAAGGTGCAGCGACGTCGTCGTCAGCGTCGGCGGAGCGAGGGGACACGCTAAGATAGACAAAGATGGGAAATGAGAAAAAAGTAGGAAAAAGAAGAATAGAAGAAAGGAAGAAAGAGAATCCGCGTGACCGTACACCGGCATATACTATACTTAATGTAGCTTGCTCGCGCAGTAGAAAAGGAACTGTGGAAAAGGCGCATCGGATCATATCGGTAATCGGTATCGGCAAATTTATCGACCCCTCTGGTGTCGGTACGGCAGGAGATTTACATTTCCATATCGCGATATATTATTTCAATCAACGCCATCTAGCGGGCGATTATTATTGAAATTCAATAAGAAATCTTGTGACTCCGAGACCCTACCCGCTACCCCTACGCCTACGCCCTATATAGGCCCTATACGGACGTTTTGTTGCTTCAGGTAACGAAGAAAAGCTCAACTCAGATGTTGCCACATTAAATCAGGTAGAAAAATCTGAGTTGCGTTTTTTTTCGTCCAGGCCGTCGAATATAGCCAAAGTTTGTCAGCGGACGAAGGAAAATTCAACTAAGATTTCTCTACCTGATTTAACATGGCAAAATCTGAGTTGAGCTTTTCTTCGTTATCTGAAGCAACAAAACGTCCACATAGGGTCTCAGAGCCACGAGCCACGAGATTTCTCAATAATAATCGCCCGCTAGATGGCGTTGATTGAAATAAATAGAAGCGAGCGGAGGCCGGGAGGCCACCGATAAAGCCCGATCACGCCCGAAACAAAAAAACCCTATATATAGAAACAATGTGAAGATTTTGTTGTTGTTTATTGTTGTCTGCTGTTTTTACTGGCCAGATTACCGAACAGAGCCCATTATAATTATANTCTTTTGTAACGTACCTAACGACGAGACTGTTTTTTGTTGTTGTTCCTCTCCTCAAAAAAGAAAAGAAAAAAAACCCTCATCACCTTTCTCATTGTACACACACACACACGGACGGCGATCCGATTGATTTACAATATATATACGCATGCATTAAAATTAAAGGTCGAAATTTGGAGAAAATATTATTAGTGGTAATTTTCACTAGCCTAGTAAATGTCCGTAGGAAAGTGTTCGAAAGTCACTGATTGGCTCCACATTTTTCGGGACTAGTTGAGAAAAAGCCACGAAAAAGCCAAGCGCTGATGTGTATATGTATGCGTGGGAATCTATTTCTCTCTCCAATCTCTCCATCGCTTGTCCACACACTTTTTCGACTTTCGAAAAAAAAACGTTTATTGAACTAACAAAAATATTTACTTATCTTAAACAATTATTCATGAAGTACGCAGTAATAATTTTTAGGTACTTATTTTTGTGTAAACCCGTTTAAGATTTTAATGTATATTTTATCTGAAACACATTTTATTATATTCAAATAAAGAGGTATTTCTTTAACTCTAAAAAATTTATTGTTAAATTTAATATGTATCTGTAAAGTAAATAAATATTTATTCAAATTCGTCAAATATTTATTCAAAGCTTATAATCGTTTATTTAGTAAAGTAGGAAAAAAATTTTTGAAGGTAATGGTCCGAGATAGATAATTACTGTAAAAAAAAATTCTCTAAAAAATTGCATCACTAGTTGTAAGTAACTGAGCTTTCATCGGCATAAGAGATGTGCAATCAAGCACTGGGTTGATGACTCAAAAAAAAAAAATAAAAATGAAATCATGAGACACAGGTAAAGATCCGTAAATTCTGTTTTCTAATTTTTTCAAAATAGATAGGTATACGTATAGGTGATACTTACATAATTATTTGAGTGTTGAAGTGTGAAAAACAACCGCAGATTAGGTTTAATTTTGCCTGTCGATTTCTGAAATGTTATGATTTGGTGAAAAGAATAGCAAAAAATTAAAACTGCTTTTTTTCGTTTTCAAAATGTTCAAAAAAAGTATCCTATATAATAATAAATAATTATTTCGAAAATTCAACGACATTTTGGAAACAAAACCCAAACCTGAGGTGTTATGTGTGTAATCTGTGAAATGAGCTTAGTGGGCTCGAACTATGTTTATTTCAACTAAACACTAACTTTGTTTATGATAAGAAAACTTGCGAAAAAAGTAGAAAATTAATATGGAATAAGTTTGGCTTAAGTCATTTAAAAATTAAAAAATATTTATGCGTCTAGTTTTGATAAAGCTTATAAATGATTCGTTAGAAATATGTCAAATTAAATTTAATAAGAATTGTAGAGGATTTAAATTTTATCGTGCAGTTGTTTACAGTAAAAGTACGAAAATTACAACAATCGTCTACAGTCTTATCAAAGAGCTTGGAATGACAGCTATTGTCAATAAATAAATGCGAAGAACTGTAGGTTGTGTAAGCAACTGGTTCACTAATAAAGGCATTTAAACTTAGATTTCTAAAATACACGGTAAAGAGCAGCTTCTAATTTTTTTTTTTTTTTTGAAAAATAGCTTCAACTTAAAAAAAGAACAGCAGAGGTCTTTCATGCATTGTGTTGAGCATTTTTTACCTTTCTTTGGTATGTGAAAAGTATGGTACACTGTGAGATGAATTTATGTCCAACTTTTATCTCTCTCTTTCTCCTACTTTTTTTTTTACATATTTCAGAACTCTTAGGAAACTCCATTTCGAAAGTCTAAGGGAATGAATATCATTTTTTTTCTTTTTCTTATTGGTAACGATACCCATTATTTCGTTTCAGACAAAGACGGCCGTCCGCGTTGAGCCCATCTTGCGAAATGTTTTAAAAATTTCGGTGAGAATGTACGTCTACTTTTTACGGATAATTTGTCCTACACTATTGAAGATCATCATTACTATTATTATCCTTACAAATTTTTTCTAGTTAATAACATTCTTGTGATCGATCTACTTCTGACTACAACATGCGTTACTTATTTAAGAAGTAATTGCAGTACCAATAAGTTTTTTAAACGTTGCATTTTATTTAAATTAATTGATCAAACCTTTTTAATTTTACTGATCTGAGCGAATGTAATATTAAATTATTATTTTAGCTCATATTATAATGAAATTTTAAGATTAAAGTTTTTTCCCTGTATTAAACCGGTTTGTGATAAGCAACCAGTATTTGAACCAAAATAATAATTAAGACATTTTTCTATTACTCAAGTACTAATTTTGCGGCTGTTTGATTCATCTTTTCAAAGAATGTTCAAATTTTTATACGTTATTTTTTATGAAATATAAACGATCTATGTATACTACTTAAAAAAAGTTCTTTTTTCTAGACCAGAGTCGCAGGATATTATCAGCATACACCGATGACAAAGGGGAACAACGTAGTAGCAAATTAAAAAGACAAATAAAAATCTTTCACAAGTAAAAAAATTTTATACTTAATATACAGTTAACTTTTATACAAAAAAAAAAAAAAAAAAAAAAATTGTTTTAATACATAATTATACTTTTATTGTTCGTCTAGCAAGGCTTTTGTACTGTATTAGATTTAAAAATAAAATTCTTTTGTTTGGTATAATTACTTGGTCACATTAAATTTATGATCCACAACCAAGATGTAAACTTTTATTTTATGGAGTATAAATATTAAATTTAATTAAACTACCATCTTTTATCACTCATAATAAATATGTGCTATTACAGTTTCACACCTCGTAAACTAGGTTTAATTTAAAAGCTATAAAACTGATTTATGCCTTGACGCTCTTTTGGTTTCTTATGTAAATTATTAATTATCACTCGCCTCGTATTCAAAAGCCGTTGTATAAGCTGCCAAACAATATGTTTTCGTTGTAAACGTATTAATATACGTTTTAAAATTCCATTAAGTTATTCATTTAGCAATGAGCAAGAGCGTAAATTTGTGAAAAACTAAAAAATTCAATAAAATTATTGGTTTCAATGGAAACGTTTTGAAATGGTAAAAACGCACGTTCTTTTGTTCGTACAATTTTTATCACATCGGAGAAAGTGTACCTATCGCTAAAAATAAAGAACACAACACGAAGTTGAAATAGAAACAGACATGATTTCATTAGCTGATTTGTGTGTGGGTGTACCTTCATAAAAGTGAGAGTAGAAAAAGCACAAAGAAATACGCTAACTGACAAAGTGTGCGCAGTAACTGTTAAATGATGGACAACGTCTACGGCTATACGGTTCAAGTATCTCTGTCATGTAAAGTAATTGTTGTGAGTACAGTCTCGTATACCTACGCTTACGCAATTGGTTTACACGGGCATGATTGATTGTTTCTACGTTGATTCCGAGACACCTACTCTATTATTTATATAATATGGACATACGAGCGTGAAATATGTTTTTAACTATTTTACAATTGTTACAAATTAATACCAAGCAATATTTTTTGTTGTTACTTCCAATACTTTTTAGTACTGTAATTTTTTTTTAAATCTTGATTATAAATAAAGTTCTTTGATTTCATCTTTTAAGCAATTCTACTGCTATTTAAAATATTACGAATTGGGTTAAAATTGAAAAATAAAAGAAACGAGAAAAAGCCCAAGCACTCGCTGTTCCCTGTTTGAGTCTAAATTTTAAAGCTCCAAAGAATCAAAAACCACCACAACTCGGGATGGAATTGAGGAAATGAAGCGGCGAGAGCCGAAAAAAAACCAGGAGGTGTCAACAAAAATAATAGAAACAAAAAAAATTCGGTACTCCGTTCTGGCGTCGCTTTGCGCATTTAATTATCGAAGCTCGTCGAATCAGTCCCGTGTGCTCCTGTTACCGCCGCATCACCGTCCCGAAGGGGGTGCTAATAAGAAAGCCCAGCTTTTACTCGTTAGAACTTTATGGCTTTCTTTTGTAACGTACCTAACGACGAGACTGTTTTTTGTTGTTGTTCCTCTCCTCAAAAAAGAAAAGAAAAAAAACCCTCATCACCTTTCTCATTGTACACACACACACACGGACGGCGATCCGATTGATTTACAGCCTCTCCCGGCGCGATCGGACACTTGCAAATAATTAAGCTCCCCCTCTTCGCTT